ATTATGTAACTTAATTAAGCAAATAAACTTCCATCGTATTTTATATAATTAATTTGCTGTTTTTACATTTATTATTCTTTCCCTAATTTTTCTCATCAAACCCGTGATCCTTTGCAACTTTCCCCCATTTTTTTGCTTATTTTAATCAATATTGTGTTACTATATATTATTGATGATATGAATCTGTAACTATAAAAAATTATGAAGTATTATGTATAATGAACCCATGGTCAACTCTCAATCTTGGTTAACCTTCTCTCAGTTGTTATACCTGAAATAGTTAGTTTTTTTCGAAAAAATGTATAGTTAAAACAAACCTTTGCAATACACAAACAGTTTAACTTACATATAAGAAGAAGTGTCATTGCTTTACTTTAATAAACTCATTGTTTTTCAAAATGTTTTAATCAGGAGAATGTGCCTGCTTCGAAGGCCCCGTTTTTACAGAGACCATCTCATCAGACCATTGCAATAAATCATGTTATGATGTCGGAGATAAAGGAGCAATTATATTTTTAGAATGTGGACGAGGGTTATCCGTAAAGTTCGTGGGCAAGCTAAGAATTAAATAAAAGTTGCGTCATTGATATTTATTATTAGCATATTCCTAATCCTTTACTAAATGTGAACTATGAAATGTAACATCTGATTCAATTTCAAATGTTTAATTACAATTATGACTTCATAATTAGACTAGGAGCATGCCAAATTATACTAAAAAAATATTTTATCACGTTATAATTTATAAATTTCATTTGTATTTTATAAAATTATGCAGAAATCTGAATGACTTTTGCATTATGAGGTTGACAGAAGTTATCACTTCAAACCTGCAAAATTTGAACATTCAAAGTTGTAAAATGGATGAGCAAGCAAAGTTAGAACATACTAGAGAAACACCGACATCTTACGAACGAATGTAACCAAAAACGGGGATCAGTCATTGTAGTCTTTGTATTCACGGTTGCATTATTGAATTCTTCAATTTTATTGGAATTTCGATAGATAGAATCCCCACAAGATACCTCAAAGCCACGTCTTGTCGTAGTCGCTACCATGACGCTAGAATACATTTCAATGGACATTTAAACGAGCAAAGGGGTTCGAGAAGGGAAATGAAAAAGAAATTTTAAAATGTCATTCTGTAGCATGAAATAAAAAATAATAGTATGTGCGGATCTAGTAGGGGTCGAAGGGGGGGAATTTACGAAGGACAGTCGGGACAATAAGGAGTTATGGTCTAAAACTGAATTGCAATATCCCAAAATCTTTATAGAAATTCTTGTTTAAAATACTATATGCTGCGAAAAAAAAATTAATATGGCTTTAATACACAGGTATTCTAGCCATATTATAAATCCATGGGGATGCCCATTCGTAATTTGTCAGTTGATAAAGCTTCTTCTTACAAACATGTATCTTAAAAATATTCATTTAATTCTCACGGGTGCTAGTGGACAGGAACCCCCCCCCCTCCCTTTAAAATCCCACACCCAAATCAATTTTTTAATTTAACAGTAAAAGCTAAAAGGCTTCTCGAGATATTGCTTGAAACAAAAGTGTAACAGACGGACAGACCGAATTTAAGGGTTCTTTCTACTTTTAATTAGACCTTTCTGAGAAGTTCGAAGAACCTTGAATCACATTGAGAAGCATATAATAAAAATTGTTGCATGAAAATATTTAATTTTCAAGCTTCATTTAAAGACTTCTTGAATTAAATTATAAATTAAAGAGTTGTCCTTCCTGGCTGAGGGTCGGAGTCCCTTAATATCCCCAACTTTCGGGAGGGGGAGTCGGTGCAAAAATGGAAGTTTAGTGAGTTTTGTTTTTTTGACATAATTTGAGATATATGAGAGCAAGTTCCATATTAGCATGCCATAATAGTACCTCTGCCCCCTCCCCTCCCCAAACCCCTGGAAAATATATATAAATCCGGGTTAAAGATATTTTTGGCTTTCTTTCATTAATAACATCTACAATTTACAACAAACAAAATTGATACCTGCAGTTAAAAAGTTAGAGGTGATTTAAGATACTACGGGCATGATCTTTTTTTTTATAAAAAGTGAATACTATGTAATTTTTGGATTGTTCATATGAAATGCATTGTAAATATGTTAATTTATGAAAGAAGACAAATATGATTATCTTGGGACCCGGTATGTATATTGGAGGTGGGTATGGGTAGGTTGTCTGGTCTACATGCACTTTTGATTATTTAAGCATATGTGTGCACATACTTTTGAAGGATGCCAAGACAACTAAGTGACAACTAAGTTTTCATATTATTCACACTTTTAAAAGTCCGGTATCTTTTTGTCTGTATTCTGGAATCAATCTTTTTCTTCTTTTACAACAGGATGGTGAATATATATTTATAGTTTTTCTATGTATATTGGACCTTCGGTCAAAATAACTCTGTGTGTGGCAAAAGTATAAAATGTATCTTCTATAATTTTATATTTTGACGATTCATGTATGGTTAACAAAACAATGACATTGAGGAGCATAACTTTAACACAAATGCCTTTACTAAGAAAAATGCACCACATAAATAAATATTTTCAACCTTTTTAATAATCCACATATATAAACAGATACACACCATGTACACACGTTCGTATATAGGAACGGGGTTGAGGGGCTGGAGATACCCCCCCACCCCCCCACAATGAAGTCGATAAATAAACAATGAATTATTATGGACAACTTAGCTACTGTATACTTGTGCTTCCTCAATAAAAAAAAATTTCATTTTAACTTCCTAAGGAATCGTTTGGTAGTGATTCTAAACTAAAATTGCTTGGTCTATGTCTGTTACAAATATAAAATAAAAGCAGCCAAAGATAATTTAGTTAAGATCGCAATTTAATACATCATTTAAGAAGATACTGTCTACCATGAATGCTCGTCTATTTCTTTGAAGTGATATTTTATTAAATAAAAAAAGAATCTCTCTCTCTCTTTTTTTCTCTCTCTCAATACAAGACATTTTAACTAACTATTTACTTGATTGCACGGATTTATTTTATTTATTGTAAACGTTTAATCACTGACGCATGACAAACGTGTTTCCTAATCCGTCTAAAGTATTATCATGGTGTATTTGCTTCTATTTGTTCGCTTTTTTTAAATTAAACATTGTAAGTGATTACAATAAATTTGACATAAGCAATTTTCAATTACAAAGTGGTTAAAACACTATCCATTCGATTTTGCACATATACTTATTTCTTCCGATTTTTAAAATTTTGTATGGGTGCAATCACTGGTCCCGAGGAAACAATCGAGATTCGGAAGTTAGGGCAAGTTACGTTCGTTCGTAAGATGTCGGTGTTTCTCTACTAAGACGGATTGGAATTGTTGAAAAAACGTTTTCGGAATAGGTGGAGCAGCAAGAAGTGATAAATTTTGCGAAGACATCGGATCAACACCTACAGAGACTAGTACACTTTGGAAATAATCGGGAAAACATAGTAAAAGAAATGTACATTAGTTAACAAGTGGCACATATTTTCGGAACGGTAAGGAACAGTTTACAGTATGACATGCGCGAAGGAAGACCATCATTCCGAGATAGCAGTCCTGTAAAAAATGAACTTCGTAGCGTGACTTTACCGTATTTCTGTAAATAAAATCGTTTTTACGCGAACAAAGGTTGGAGGATTGCTGGATATGAGAAAGACATTGTTAAGAAATATTATTTTACGTATGGAACCTGAACATTTTGTGCACACATTTATGACTGGTTAAAGCGACATATAAGAAATGTATTGAGTTAAACGCGGTGACTATATTGAGAAAATTTACATGTACTCGTATAATGCTTTTGACGTCGGGTAACGTCAAGAATATTCATTTTAGTGCTCCGGGTATGAGTGTATGTCTTTTTTAATCTGATAAAAATATAACTATTTGTGCATTGTATTTGTTGAAAACTTGCATATTAATAACATGAAACATGAATTTAATGAAAATAATAGTTTCATATATCATATCAATGTTTGTCAATAATTATCAATGTTGTCCACGACCTTAACGGACAATCTCGTACTAAGGTATTACAAATTCAGTTCCAGCATTTCAATTTAACAATCTAAGAATATTTACACTGTATGAATTTTTTTCATTCTATTTACATGTATAAATCTTTTTTGATATCCATCATTTTTTTTTTTACAATTTTAATGAAATATATTATGGCCCATTTTTAATTGTTGTAACATTTTCATTTATGAAAACAGTCTTTCTTAGGTTAATTTTAAGAACATTAACAAAAACTTGAAAAGTTTGATTTATGGCTACTGTATCTCTACTTGGCAATAATCATAAGGTTGAATATACATTGAAACAATATAGCATGCTAGAAATCTGTATTTTTTTTCATTTCAATTATGTCTGACTTTATTCAGAAGAGTTCTGGGTTTTCATATGTTTAACATTATAGTAAAGAGATTACAGACAAGAAAATAGAATTTAAAGATAATCTTATATATATCTATATTTCAGTTTTAATATCTCATTGTACCCCAGTCTGCCTGGAGGTCATGATTTGAAAAAAGCTTGATCTTCACTACATTGGTTACTTCCGTAAAAGTACAACTACGATATAATAATTTGCTTTTTTTGGAAAGCTATTTTTAAAGTTTCGTACAGTATGCACTGTATTCCAGTATAACCGTTTATTATTCATTGTGGTGTTTGCCCTTCCACCAGTAGTCATGATTTAAAAATTTACAAACAGGGGATGCTTACATTTAAATATGACTAAACATTGTTTTTCATTTTTGAGAGTTTTTATCCTGTTTGCTCTTGCTGTGTCAACTTCCTACCTCTGGGGTCAAGATTCGAAAAAATGATTCTACGACAAACATAGAAGTTATTACATAAATATAATTTTTTCTTTCCAATTGGTTATTAAGAAGATTTTTAAAGAGTGATATTAAATATTTATCAATACTTAATTATATACCCTCAAAAGGAGGTGTGACTTCATTTTTACAAACTTAAATCCCTTCATACAAGGGTGCTTTGGAGTTAATTCGGATGAAATTGGCTATGTTGTTCCTGAGAAGTTGAATACGTGAACAATTTTCAAACGACTGACAGACGACGGGCGCACTTCGATCGGAGGAGTTCACTATAGCCTCCTGCTAAGATGAGCTGAAAAGTTCTGTTTCAAATAACAATTTTATAAATGTTAACAATAATATTTCTTTCAATATCTATAGAAGCTGACAGAGTAAAAAGAGGGGCAACACGTCTTGCAGTAAACTGTGGTTCCGTGCAGAAGTTTTCATATTCTTCGGATTGTTCTGAGTCATACTTAGGAACCTGTGTCTATAAAGGTAATGTCCAAGTACACGTACATATCTTATAAAAACAAAGAACATAAAAGATTGGAATAAGAGATTCCTTTGCATGCACCATTCTCTATGAACACCAGTATGTCTAGCTTGTTAGGTACTCGAATCCTTTAAAAGGTCGCATCATTTCTCAATATTTCATAGCGTAGCAACTTTTCACATAGATATGACCGGTTTTGGTCATACAAAACTGAAAATTTACACCACTGGGAGTTCCCTGGGAGGAAGGCTTACAGAATTACTATGAGTTTCCTATACCTGGTAGTAAAATAAAAACACATGTTAGCATATATCTGTCATATATTCTATTAAACAAAGGTGGAAATCAACATGCGAAAATTTCCCTGTGTACAGTATTTACAGCTCAGCTTTCTTAATTTCAATTTTGCCTTCACTTATAATGTATAACAAATATCACTCTACGATCTATGTATGGTGGCATCTAATGTTGACAAAAAATTATATGGGTGGCATAATTGTTCAACAATATCGATCAAATAATCCGCAATTCTAAAAAATATGTATTTCAATTGAATTCTGATTTTCAAGTAAATAAAAATTGTTAAACCCTATACAGAATTTTTCTACAGTAGGAGTGATCTGCCATTTGGTCTTAATATCAATACATAGAAATTTTCAGACTATTACTCAGTTTGTAATCAATTAAATTATTCTTACCATTTTAAAGGACTTAAATTAATCAATTAATTGAACATGTTAATTTCATGTATCTTATCAATGGATGTAATCTTATACAAAAGTTATTTCTGTTCATTAATACATAGTTGTTTTTAAACATTTTTCATTGGTGTAAAAGCCATGTACCATATATCGAAAATTGAATAGATAAGCTTTAACTTTACACTTTTATTCAATGTAATTTTCTTAATTTCCAAAAACATTGTGCACTGATGTAGAGAGGGTCCTTAAAGAATTACATAGCAATTCCATATGAATGTTCCATTGATTTCGTTCCTGTCTTTTATAGAGTATCTAGGATGCTTTGAAGACAAGCCAAAACGAACCTTATCTGGAAGCAGCCGTCACGATGACTCTGAATTGACTGTAGAAAGCTGTAGGAAGTTTTGTGCAGATTACCAATTTTACGGAGTTGAGGTTTGCATTTTGACCCCTGCTTTTACGGGGGACAATATATTTCATTCATCTGTCATTCCGTCTGTTAGTCATTCCGTCCCTTTGAAAAACTTTAACCTTGGTCATGACGAAAAGATATGACTTCTCCTTTCACTTATACATTACCTGCGACAAGACCTTACCAAATATACAATGATTTTTTACCGTGATTTTGACCTTCAAGGTTTTCCTTTTTTTAAAATTTATTTTATCTTAATGTTTTAATTTTTACCCGTTGATCTTGATCTTCATGTTTGACCTAGTTTTCAAAAATTTAAACTTTAAGTTGGTTAAAACTTTTCAATGGTATTTTAGCAGCCGTTCACATCTGACACAATATACCAAAAAATATTACATCCCATTCAAGACATCCAAATCAGTGGATCACAATTCTTTGAACTTGCTTGTTTGTTCAATTGAGTTATGAGACGTTTTTTCAGTTATGAGAAATACGTATTCCCATTAAGAATTATGAGATTTCTTTTATTTACAGTTTGGCAAAGAATGCTTTTGCAGGAATTTTTTTACATCATTTATCAAAAAGCCTGAATGTGAATGTAATGTGAAATGTAGTGGAAACAAAACGCAAACTTGTGGTGATTTCTACAGGATCAACATCTACAGTAATGCTAACTACGAGACAGGTATATATTTTTTCAAAAAAATCTGAAAGACGTGTTTTGCATTTATCCCACTTTCCAGCTTAATTTAAATTTTGTTGGTGTATTCATTTTTTTTTTTTTCGAATTCATTCACTGACAAAAAGGTTGAAGAATGAAATATTTTATCAGAGAGGAATGCTTTCTACCTTACATTATCTGTTTTTCTTTGTGGGGTTTATATTTCTTAGGATCCGTTCTGAATCATGATATAGGTTTCACAGATTTTATCTTTAATAAAATCAGAACTTAATTTCAAAAGGCCATTGAAGCATTACAAATTTTGGGCATGCTTTTGCGTATCGAATCAAGTAAGACATATAAACTAAACATATGCATATAACAATGGTATATTGACATTTAAATAAGGGAAGGTGACCTTAGGAAATTTCACTTGATCACTATATAATGTTTCATAGCAGGTTGCCATTAACGTCTATTACTTGTAAAATATCCAAATATAAAACATATGTGCCAGGCACTGCTGTATCCCTTTTTTAGGCTCAAAGGGATGTATGAAAATGAATTTTATTTTTTGATAAAACATCGTGGATACATCTTAATGTTGAATTGTGGATGCATGTTAATGTTAACTGAAAGGACACATGACGTAATCTGATATTTTCCCATGATGAGGTTTTTAAAATATATATATTATACTACCTATGAATACAAAGTACTTCTGTACTGTAATAACGGGACGCAGTTTGTCCAAACGGGATTCTATCAGATTGTTGGAAGACTTAATCTCAAAAACATACATAGACAAAATCTAACAAAAAAAACTTAAGCATATATTTTTATATCAACTTTGGAGTATCAATTTTTAAAAAAAAATGAAACTTATAAAAATTAATATATATTTTCAAATGACTTATGACAAGTTAAGCAAATTTGCTAGCTCATTTCTCTTGAAAAAGCAATGTCTATTTTATCAGAAATCCCGACCTTTCATTACGAGTTACATATTATCTAGTAGGGTGAAAATCTACAAATAGGCAAGTCAAAAAAATACATTTACATTAGATTAATAGAAAATAAAATAAGAGTTTATTTTTATTATTATTATTATTTTTAAGAGGGGGATAAGTGTGACAAAATTGTATGATCATGTTACAGATTTGAGTTTATATATGTGTAGGTTATTGGCTTTATTTTCATAAAAGTTGTAACACCAAGAACTCGGGACATTTCAATAGTAATACAAAGCAAGTAATGAATTGACATGTCTCCCCATCCTAAGGATCATCTGTAAGTTAAATGTTAAATGGAATCAAAAGTTAAATGGAATCCATACTTTGTGCTTAACACCTTATTTTCATTTTAAAAAAAAATATGAGAAAAAATCTCGACTACCTCAAATATGCAATTACGATTTTTACTGTTGAATTTTTTGATTGGTGGAAATATATTTACCTGAATTGTCTCAGTTTTTTTCATTATCTCTCCCCATTTTTTCATGTGGACTTTTATATTTTCACATAAATATTAATCAAGCAGAGATAAAAACAAACTGGACATCATCAATGCAGATTTGTAAAACAAGGACTCCCTCGTCTTACTTAATTGGAAACGTCTCCCTGACTGACGCCACTTTGGCTTGTAAACAATTACAAAGGAAAAAGAGAGGGCCATCCTGGCTTAGCATCGCAAAAGAAATGTATAGTGGGTATGATCGAGGTAAGAAAGCTATAATTTATTATTATATTTTCTTTTTTTTACCACTACACCATTCCTACTACTTTTTTTAATCTTATGAATGTCAAACATGAGATTATATTACCCCCTTTGATAATAATTGAAATGTAAATGGCGTAAACGATTAAATATATTTTCAGTACAGGCATACAATTTATACTTGACAAGATGGATACGTATATAAGTACTCTGACATTTGTTCGACGTCTTTGTGATATCAGAGGAAAGAAATGGAGCAAAAATGCAACATTGTCGAATTTTTTTATCCAGCAAACAATTATGGATTAAATATTTTCATCACAAATAATATCTACAACATGAATTTTATTAGCTGTTCTATAGAAACCCGGCTTAATTTTCTGACAGGTGTTGCTGTTGAAATCCAAGAAAAACAAACGTTTCATCAGTGCCAAAAATGCAACCGGACTGGCTGTGAATTTGTCGATTGTTTTGAAAAGCTTGATAATTTAGTTTGTGAAAAGTTAATGTAAAATTGTATTTCAGAATTCTTTTTTTTTAAAATTTTATTCTTTCCTTATTAATAAGAATCTATAAATTACCAACATTCACATTTCAAAACGTTCATGAAAACTTACGTCCCTTATTGTTTCCGATTTTCATTACCTTTTTTTTAGATAACATACATTTTCCGATAAGCAAATATGATTTTAATTAAAATTGAAAAGCATATGTAATGTGCTATGGTTTTGCGTGAACTACATTTGGTCAATCAATTTATCAATCTATCTACTTTTGGATATATTTTTTCAGGACTCAGGTTTTGAAATACCTCAAAGGAAAGCGACAGGTTAGCAGCCAAACATCGTTTCTGATCTGTATTTGTAATAAAGGTTTAAAGATCTTCAAATCAGAGAAATGCTTGTCAAATATTCATCATTTATTCCTTTTTGAAAAAATTATATTTTGTACAAGCACGAATATTCGTTGTAAAGAATGATCAACGAAATTAAATCCCACGCAGATTTTTTAATTGGGTTTACTTTCAAAACAATTAATTAAGCTTTAAAGATCTTCAAATTAGAGAAATGCTTGTCCAATATTTATTATTTTTTTTTGAAAAAAAAATTATATTTTGTAAGAACACAAATATTCGTTGTAAACAATGTACAAGCACAAATATTCGTTGTTAACAATGTACAAGCTTATCCCTCAAACATTTGACAAACTGCTTTGCATATGTTGTGAAATCTAATACCTATCCTATGCAATTGGAGAAAAACTCGGATTTGATCCCTTGTCATACATTTTATTTGAATTATTGTACTTATATTAACGTCAATTTAACTTTGATTGACGTGCCCTTTTAAAAATTAGTCTTATTACATGTATATATGTAACCGATAACATCTTTTAACTACCAAAAATTGAACATAGGTACATTAAAAGCTCTTGGTTTGCATTTTCACATTAGTTATCAAATTAGAAATGTATATGTGTGTGAATCGAGTAGGGACATGAACAGAATTTGGTGTTTACTTCGCATATCTATTAATATGAACATGCAGAAAAAATACATTTTATTATTGGAGAGAGAGAGAGAGAGAGAGAGAGAGAGTTTTAAAACAGTGTATGGAATAATTATAATTGTCAATAAACCCCTCCCTCCTAAATCGTTACACCTGCCGGTATAAATTAATAGTTTTTTTATGTAATTAGATATTGTTTCTTTGTCAGTTTTTTTTATCTTTTCAATTCTTTGAGGCAACGAAGTAAAATTAAAGCTCCTCATATATTTTATATATTTTTGTTTTCCAAATTAAATTTTAGAATAATGCTCATGATATCTGGTGAAGGTATTTATACTAAATTCAATTAATTGGTAATACAAGGAAAATGTATCATAAAATGGTTTAGAAGGTAGGTAGGTTTTTAATATAGGTGTACGTTTGTTTCCCTTTCAATATAACTTTATCTTTTTTGTCGTGAAATTTCTTGCCTAAAAATACGTAACTACATAAGTAAGTTATCTGCTTTTTATTATCAGAATAATATTTTCCGTTTTTATTTTTAAGTTCTTCAATCTTGTGTTTGAATAAGATCTTACGTCTGAAACTAAATTTAAAAATTTACTAACATATGAAAATGATTCTAATTTAAAAGGTGACAATTTTTGTCACATTTTTTAAAATAAATTAAAGTCCAAGTTCTTTGAAAAATCCATTGAAGTCTTATGATTCAAAGTTTCTACATAACTGAATTTTCAGATTCCGTGAATAACCAAGGGCTGCTGATTGGAGTGGTAATTTGTGGAATACTAGTCGTTATATTATCTGGGATCGTCATCTTCTTAATCATCTGTATCATCAGAATTAAGAAAAGGTACAGTGATGCTTTGAATATATTTTGTTGTTTATTTCGAAATTTTGTACCAAATAAATGGAAGGGTAATCTTGGAAATGTTAGAAAAATCCATCAAATCAGAATATATATAACCTTCAGTTACGCTGATTGAATATCCGATATTTTATTCAATGGCATTCATTTCTTTTCAGAACGCGTTCTTCTGACAATAACAAGAACTATACAAGCAAATTTTCAACTGTTGTAGCAACCGGTCATCCAACGTCAACCTATACCACATTAAATCCAGGTCTAGTGAATGACACAAATGAACAGCATTACACCGGATTATCGAATGTTTCTGAGTATATTGAGATTCACTAATTATTCGTGGTCACATGTACATTGACAATTTTGTTAAATAATGCAGCTTAGAGGAAAGTTGTTTTAATAAAAATGAAGATAGAAAAAATAAGAAGGAGAAAAGAAACAAACTAGACAAGAGGGAAAGTTTTTGACTTTTATTTGAAAAAAATTGAATAATAAACATTTATTTCTCCCTTAATTAGGTTTCTTTATAATACTTCACTCTGCATAATCAATGAATGCCTGGACCCCTGGCTGGATTTACGCATGAAGTAACAAAAAGAATATTTTGTTTTACTTTTTCTGTTAAATTATACTTGCTTTTTGCATTTTAAATACAGTAAAATTAGGTTATAGCAAAGTCCTTGGGATCTGTAAATTAAATTGGTTATAATTAAATCCGCAATTTGTTTTATCATGACCAAGAATTCGTATAACTACAGTGTATGCCGGTATAAAGCAAATTTGCAATATACATGTTTTCTAGTAAGTATCACGATCAAATATTTTAGGGAAGCCATTATTCCAAATAACATGTAGTAAAGCTGAGGTTTTCCGATGAAATGAATTTTATTAACAAATACCTAATGAAAAGAATATCAGTTCGATTTTTCAAATTTTGGGATCTTTGAAAATTCGTCATAAAAATTTAAAGATGTAAATTTCATTAAATTAGATAACCTTTAGGGTATTCAAAATCCGTTTCATATAACACTATGATTAGTGGTTCAGTTGCCAATTAGATCTCAAAAACACTCATGCAAAACAGTAAAATTTCAAATGATGGAGAGACCTGATATATTATAATACATATGTCTTAGTAACAATCAGTTCTAAGATATTTTGAGGACGAAATATGACGTACCTTTCGAAAGCACCTTCTTGTAGGTAATAAATACTGTGTAGTAGTTAATAAAAGTTTACTAAATTTTGCTATAGTTTCACGTTTTTACTTAATATTAAGTAATTCAGTGTTTTAATGCAGTAATATAAAAAAGCCATATTTATTAATAAAGGTATTTATTCTACTTTAATTGCAACAATCGTATATTCACATACTATTTATTAATTTTACATTACTTATATCGCATTTAAGTTATTTGTTCTTTGAAATATCAATGAATAAATGAACAAATTATTTGAAAAAATTAGAAAATTCATATTAAATCAAAGTGAAAAGGGCTTTTCTTGAGATGATGTATGAGTTTCTTAAGTTAGTTATATAACATTCTTGATAATTAGGTAGAAAGAATGATGTCCATCGTGTTTTCAGGGAACAATTTCATAATTAAGCACCCTTCCTGACTTGATCAAAATGTTCATCGAATAAGTATGAAATAAATGGAGATATCAAACAGCATTCAAGCTCAAAAATCTATTTTTCAAAAATGTAGACAAAAAAAGGAGCAGAGAATACCTCCAAAACATAAGAGGTGAGATCAGGTGCCATGGAGGAATGAGCATTACCTGTAGACCGGTCAAAACCCCCGTGTGCTCCTTGTCATGATTGGAAAATAACGGGAAAAAACCAGTCGTCAATTCACTGTTTAAACAATGGACTAACAATAAGTATGAGAAACATCAGTCAGCATTTCATTAAATGATTGTATTTGCTGACAGGGTCATTGTATCGATCATAGAGCTTACAAAATGATGAATTTTATTAAACGAGACTGCTGTTATTCTTGTTTCATCAATTTGTTTGTCAAAAATTTTCCCCTTATTAGAAATTGTTTAAACGAAGAACATGGTTTTTCATATCGAATCAGCTAAGATATATAAAATCCGTTTGCAGTTGATGAAGGTATTTTGCTGCATAGATAACTTAAAGGGTCGCTGACCATTTAAAACTTAAAGTCCTCGCGTTTATCATACATCCTGGTTAAGTCAAAAGCTGACTGATGTTTTTCATACTAATTGTTACTCTAATACTTATATACAGAATTGAAGACAGATTTTTCCGTTATTTCCCGATTATGACAGGGAGCACACGGCGGGTGTGACCGGTCGGCAGGGATGCTCACTCCTCCATGGCACATGAGCCCACCTCCGATGATTTGGAGGTCCGCGTTTGCTCTGTTTCTATTTTGTATTGTTTAAAGACTTTTGATCTTGAATACTTTAAATTCCTAAATAAAGTAATGGATTTAATCATCGTGTAAGAAGCGCCGCACGCGAAATTATATCACTCGCCTTTATTTTTAGGTTGCTAAAATTTATGTAAAATCTCTTGATCAATTCGTGAATCATTATTCTTGAGATTTGACGTTGAAGATCCAATTCTCAATAATAAGAACTCGCGAAAAATAAGGAATCTACAGTACTGTTCGTTATCTCCATATGTTTAATTTTTCATTAAAGCAAATGAGGCCTTAATTCTCTCAGACTGAAACCTTAAAATGATTCATCGTTAAGTTTTTTTGCTTAAAATTTATACATTTTCAGTTCTTCAAAAACAATAAACCCATTAATGCCTTTTGGTATAACGTGAGATATTAGAGATAGAGAGGAATGGAAAGTTTTTAACTCTTTAGAGTCTTTCGTAAAGTTGATATCTTTAGAAAACAGAATAAAAAAAATGTTTCAACAATGTTGCATTTTCATCTTATTCTCGATTTTTACATTTAAAGATGAAATCATTTTTAAAACACCTTCACGATTCTGATTTTGCGATTTGAATTTAAAATGCAACTCAAAGCGGGAGTACAAAATCAACAAAAAGCCATTTTATTAATCCATCATACATTCCAAAATTAAGAAGTTTGCATCTCAGTTGTCTAATAATTTAAACTCTATTCAAATTAATATA